CAGGTTGGAAGATGGCTGTTTGATGTTATTGTTTTTTAAATCATCCTACAGGCTCTGACATGTTGGATAAATTTGAAAAGCAGGTTTTGAAAAAAATCAGTAAGACTTGAAAAAAATCCATGAGATTGCTCTATACGTCCATATACCTGCAAAATGACTTAAATTCCTTACGGACAATCCGTACAAGTTGTCATGTGTGCAAAGACCAGCAGAGAGGCGATTGTCAGTGACGGGATCTGTATCTGGATTTGTTGAACTTACGCACTGAGAATGTCTGTTCGCATACGTAGGTAGATCCAAAGAGGATGAAAAAGCTGCTTTATGTGCTTTTTTTAAAAGTTAAAATAAACATCTTTTTTTGGGGGGTAGGGGCCTCATTGGCGGCTGGACGAAAGTCACCTGCGGGCCGCATACGGCCTGCAGACTGCTAGTTGCGGAATTAAATCAGCACTGAACAGTAACTCTAAACAGTTTTATGAAATTACTACACCTGCAGCGAGTTGTTTCTACATTAATGCTTGGAAGACAAAATCTCAATAAAAACTACTGCAGTGTTGAGTCACCTGAAATTGATTTTAGCAGTGTCTATGTTAATGTCTAAAGATACACAATGTACCCAGCTAAAAACAAAGGGTACAGAGGATTGCTTATTAAGACTCTGCTCGTGTACTATCCCACATGTAGGCTTGTCTAATAAAGTGTCTCCGTCGTTCTTTCTGTAGGTGGAACGAGTGGCTCACCTATGACATGTACATCCCTGACATCCCTCGAGCTGCCCGACTCTGCCTCTCCATCTGCTCAGTGAAGGGCAGAAAGGGAGCCAAAGAAGTAAGAAAGAAAACACAGTGAGATTAAAGTTTATATTTAGTATTTGTAAAGATTTAAATACGTATTTAAAGTGAAGAAAAACACAGAGAGTCCTACAGCTGTTGCCATCTAAGGATATGGGATTACAGACGACGTCTCAAGCAGAGCATGCTAACTCACCCAGGACGTGTACGCATATGCGTGTCTTTTGTGTGGTGTGTAAGTATGAAAGTGATCCGCTCTGTGTGCCAGTCTGAGTATATGTGTCTGGTAAATGGAAGCTGTGGTGTCATCTTTGGCTCTGTTTAATTACTAATCAGTCATGAGCGTTGGGGTGGCAGGAAACATCAGCAGGAGACGGAATCAGCAGGAGCGATTAAAACGTTCAAGCTTGAACGTGCTTTGTCTCCCTACCCCCGTGTGCAAACCACACGTGGAGGACATGCTTTATAAAATAAATTAATAATAAATTATACTATATATGTTTTAATTTTTCTGATCAAACTTCTTTCAAAGTATCGCAACATAAAATTGATGCAAATKAAGTAAATAAATGAGTTAAAAATGTGAAAAATGATCTCAGACATTTCATCGTTTTAGTGTTTTAAAGAGCTGGAAGAGGTGTTTTCTGTGTTTGTCAGTGTGTGTGTGCGTTTGTGTGTGTGGAGAGTATCAGTGATTGCCAGACATGGATATGGTAACAGACACCTAGGGCGAGTCCTGTCTCCTGCCCCGTGAAGCAAGGCTTGATGTCAGTTTAGCGGATGCTCTTTCATGCCCTGACTGAATTAAAGATAAACAGTTTACTGCACCGGCCCTTGTGTTCCAGCGCTTACTATAAATAGGTGTGTTTTGACTGGCTGGCTGTGCGTTRATTCTGTCTAATGGTTTTTGTCGCCTGGTTCCATCACCAGCCTTTTGTGACAAAAGCACTTGATATCTTTGGTAGGTTTGATTWAAAACACTTCAGTAAAATTGTTTTGCCCCCTTACACCAAATACAAGACACAACGCTTTAAAAAAAATGGCCACATTCAACTGCAGAGATCAGCTTTTTAAGGTCCGTTATCACAGCTGAATCATTGGTCAGTATTTTGTCCTTGGTCTGTGACATTAGTAAACCGTGACACTTCCTTTCTTATTAAAACTCTGAGATTTATGTTTATTTACCTTCTGTGTTTTGTGTCTCAGGAACACTGTCCACTAGCTTGGGGTAACATCAATCTGTTTGATTACACCCACACTTTGGTGGCCAACAAGATGGCTCTGAACCTCTGGCCCGTCCCTCATGGACTTGAAGACCTGCTCAACCCTATAGGAGTCACTGGTTCCAACCCCAATAAGGTACTCGTATTCAGGATTGTGTCATCTAAAGAAACAAACAACAGAAAAGGTGAAAGTGTGTGTGTGTTTTTTCTTCAACTGTTAAGGAAACGCCATGCCTGGAGCTGGAGTTTGACCACTTCAGCAGTCCAGTCAAATACCCAGAAATGAATGCAGTGGAAGATCACGC